GGCCTTGGTGATTGTTAACCCCGGGTACTTTCCAGAAAGCTTCTATAATGACACCCGCTTAAAAAGAACCATGGAGAAAACAGACAATTTAAAGATGAGACCAAGCAAGGATGTCCACTCTCAGAAAGCCCAGCCTTGGGAGCTAACTCAGAAGCCATGGACTGGGCTCTCTGCTGGCCCATAAAACAAGTGGGCTTCTAACCCACTAGCTGCTAAATGAAGGCCAAAGAGTAGGAAGGAGAAATGTCCCAGGTGCCTCCCCTGCACCCACCGCTCCCTCCAGCCCGGCAAGGGTCCATCCCAGGGACAGATGCTGCCCAAAAACACCACCGCAAAGACAGTTCAGGGAGCCGAAATGTGGGGACTTCTGAGATTGGCTTGGGTTTGGCACTTACAGAACAATAAACCGAGTCTCTGAAGCAAAGTTAAACAAAGGAACCATTTGTCTGTGCTCGTAGCTACAAAGTCAGGCAGGATTCCAGCGAAGAACTAAGAATTAAAAGGAGGATGCCAAGCTGCAACGATGCAGCGAATGTTTACTGGGTCCAGCCCGGGACCCTCTGCCAGGACCTGAGGTCTAGAAGCCAGTGAATGAGCAACAACCTAATGTATTCAATGCAACACAGGAAATGTAGGCTCTTGGGTATTATGTTAAAAATATTTACTAATTTTTTTCCCTTCTCAGCTCCTTTAACGTATGCATATGCTAGAAACCCCATGCAGGGAGGGCAACAGTAACCAAAACCACGCATTTTTTAAAAGGCACAAAGGTTTCTTCACTATCTTTTCTGTTGTCATGGTGGTGGTCACTCTTGTGAATTAACGATTCTGAACTGCATTTCTCTGAACCTCTGGTCTGCTGAGGAGCTGGTCCTGTCCGCAGGCGCTGGCATTAACATGCGGGGGAGCCTTCTCCCTTTGACACTCCCTGGCTCGCCCGGTTTTTAATCTAGCAGCCCCTTTCCAAATGATCCTTCCTCTGCACATCCGCATCTATCATTCTCTTCCTCACCTCCCTCCCAGACAGGCCTCATGTGACTGGAAGAGATTCTGAAGTAACAGCCCAGCCATGCTAGGCCAGCGGGATCCTCCTGCCACGCCCCCCAAGTTGGAGCTAGGTTTTAATCACCGAGCCCCATTTCTTTCCTTACCACCCTGATCTGGAGAAGATCGACTCCGTAGGAAACTCTGGAGGGGGTGTGGGGAAGAGAGAGTCCAAGAACTTAGGGGAGAGATTATTTTGTACAAGTCGCACATTCTGACGCCCCTCTCCCCTTCTGCGCCTCTGGGAAGAAAGCAGAAAGTCTGGCTACATTGCTCATGCTGGCTGCAGGCGCACTCGGTGAGAAAGCAGGTTCAGGCTCCAGCATCAGAAAACCCTTATTCTTTCTGCATCTTTGCCCTAAGTATAATGCTGCAATGACTGCTACTGAGGGATATGCTGTTATCAGAATTAGCGACTCTTAGCTGCACCATCTCGACTGAAAGGCTGCCCCCAAAGACACAGCTGTCGCTCTGTGGGCAGGTACCACACACGCACTGTCCCCTGGACCCTCATCTCTGGGCAGCATATCAGAGCGACTCTTCTGGGGGACAAGCCAGCCCCGGCAGCACCCCATAGAGGGATCCATGAGTCACAATGTCCCTACGGTGACGAACCAAAAAGACACTTTCCACTCTCTTCCAAAAGGAAATTTTAGACCAGAAAGATCAAAGGTTTCCTTAAAAGTTTCCTTGAAAGATAAACTCAAGGACTGGGGTGTAGCTGGGTGGTAGAGGACTTGCCTAGCCTCAGGAACCTCATTCTACCCCTAGTACTGCAAAATAATAAAAATTTACAACTCCGACCCTGATCACCTCGGGGTGATCAGAATTAGAACTCGTGCTTTTCTTGACTTTTTCTGTTGTGCAGTTTAAACGGGTAATGAACATATATCGCTTTGCACCATAAATGCAAATAGTATTAGTTGGAATCTCCTCTGCCATTTCTCCACTCAGCAAAGGTCTATTTTAAGACAGACGTGGCTTTAAAATTTCTAAAAGACAATTGTGTCTCTCAACCACTGTGAAGTCATTTCCTCCCGTGTAAACGGGGGCTGGCCCCTACCTTATGTGGAGGCACAAAACTCCCCACTCTTACCGAAAGTAACACCCCGGGTACCGTCAGGGGCCTGGGGAGGCTGAGGTTGGGTCCCCAGCCCACAGACGCAATCGGCCTGGGTTCACACGCCCACACGGGCTGGCATGAGGTGGGAGTCCGACCCGAAAATACCACTGATCCGCCTCCTTCTACTTTCAAAAACTACCCTCGGAGTCCGGGGACCCCTTCCCTCGGTTTCGAGGTTGGTGGTGGTTTTCAGAGGGGCCCACTCAGCCCCAGAGCGAAGCCCAAAGTGCCCGATTACTGGGAAGCCACACCAAAGAGGCCTCTTCTGGGAAGTTCCCTCCCGCCAGGCTTCCGCGAGGCACCAGCAAGCAACTTTCACAGGATGAAACCTCCTGGAGCCGGGCGTGGTGGCGCGCGTCTGCAATCCCCGCTACTAGGGACGCCGAGACAGGAGGATCTCAAGTTTGAGTTCTGCCTAGGCAGTGTAGGTAGATCCTGTCTCGAAGTTTAAAAACTAGATTTAAGTTTAAAAGGAGGGGAGGGTGGTAGAGTGCTCTCCTAGCAGGCTCAGGACCCCAGGCTCAATGGGGGGGGGCCCTCCTGGGAACAGTCACGCCCACTAGCACGCCGAGGAAATGTCCTTCACATTTACCCTTACTGCAGTGGTTTTGGTTTAAAGTTAAAACTTTTTCTAAAACGGTCCTTTACTCTCTTTTCCCCCACAGTGGCCTCTCCTCCTCGCAACCGAAACAGCTGGCTATCATTCCTCAGCTCCGTTTTTAAAATACAAAATCCTTACAAGCAAAGCCTTCAGCCCTGCCTGTCCGCGTAGGGTCTCGCTCTCAGACTTGGTGCTTGGAAGAGGACAGGTTTCCAAGATGTGGGGGCTCAGGCTCGTGCGCAGCTCTCAGGGTTTGTGGGGAATCCCTTCCTGCGTGCCGGGATTGCCGCACGCTTCCCACCAGGCGGGATCATCAAGAAGTAGCGAGGGGCTCGTGTTCACCAGGGTGAACAGCTGCCTCACGACCACTTTCCCTCTGCGGACGCCGGAGAGCCCCGAAGAGGCGGGATCGCGCCTGGCACGCTCCGCCCCGCCGCCGGCAGGGGGCGCACGTACTTTACTTTCGCACACCGACTCGGGCGCAGCCAGGGCGGGGCTGAGGTAAAACACTCTGCAGCAAAACCGAGCCTGGGGATTGGTCGCTGCCGGCTTTGCGACACAAGCTTAGAGGCTGGAGTCGTCGGCGACCCTTAAAGCTGAATGGTGTCGCGAGCTCGCTTTGGGGAAGGTCCTGCCCATGTAGCAGTTGGACGCGGGGCTGCGGGCTCCGCGGGTGGGCGCTTATCCTGCGCAGTGTGAGTGCTGGACGCCCCCCATTCTTTTCTTTTTACAGAGGGCAAGAGAGGGAAAAGTTTTCTTAAAATGCCTTTGGGTGCGGGCGCAGGCATGAGAAGATTGTCGTTGTTTTGAATGCCCTGGAAAAATGCACAATGGCAAATCCCAAGGAATGTGCATTCTGTATTAAATACGGATCCAATCGGGAAGTGATTCCAGTTGGGCAAGAAATTAGGTCGACGTGTACAAGAAGAATGTATGCACAGATGCGGGGTATATATAATAAGTGCACTTTCAGTACAGCATTCAGAAATGTAGTCAATGGAGGGGAAAAAATGCCTGAAATACAGCCAATTGTTAATTAACTCAAAACACGCCCCCTCCAAGAAAGACACAAAAGCAAGAGTCCTTTCCTCTCGGTTGATCACATCAAATGCCGAGTGTGTGTGTGTGTTCGCGCACGCGCATGACCAGGACTCAAGTAAAAAGGGGAAAGATCCCGCAAGGCTTTGAGCATCCAGTCCGTCCGGCGAGGAGAGAGCTAACGGTTTTCTTCACAGGAGCCTCCTCCTCCGCCTTCTGAGAAGTCTGACCCAGAGGTTCGGGTCCCCGTCCTTCCTTATTTTCCCGTCTAGCGCCTTTGATTTCCCCCAACCCGGGGTCCTGAGTCTGGTGCAAATCGGCGCCACGGGGCGCCAGGGGTCCGCCTCCCCTGCAGCTGGGCTGAGACCCCGCCTCGGGAGCCGGGGCGGGGACCCGGTGCGGGCTGGCCGAGGCCGGGAGGGTCCCGGCGTGCGCCCGCGGCCCCACGCGCCTGGAGTGTGCGCGGGCTGGGGCGGTGTGGGGCGCTCTGTCCGCACAGTGGCGGACTCACCCTGAGCGGGAGGGTCCTCGGGACAGCCTCACATGTTTCATGCGTTACGCGCGCACCCGAGAAAGGGAAACGCAGTGGGATTTCTGCGCGGGGCGCTCTCCGGGGACGCGCGGCAGAGCTGTCCGCACGACTCCGGGCGGGATGCCCTGGCCTCCTGGCCTCCCAGCCCCACCTGCGCCAGCGCCGAGCGCGCGCTCCGGCCGCACGGCTCCACTCCCTCTCGGGGGACCTAATCCTCACGCGTCTTCCCGGCTTCGGGAGGCGCCAGGCCGCGCGGGACGAGGACGTGGCTGCCCGCGGGCCGCCCGGGGGCAAAGAAAGGGAAGGGACCGGGCGGACCAGGAGAAAATGGTCGGCGCGCCGTTCATCCGCTGTTTACATCGGCCCGAGCGCCGCGGCGCAGTCTCCTCCCCTCCCGGTTCCCAGCGCCGAGGGCGGGGCCGGGGAAGGTCCGCTCGCGAGTCCCCACCCACCGGCCCTCTGCCCGCAGGGGCCTCGGCGCTGGGACCCGGGCTGCGCTTCCCCCCGCCGCTCACCGCTCCCCGCTCCCTGCTCCCTGCAGCGCCCCGCCCCCCGCGCAGAAGGGCCGGGCCTTCCGAGGCTTGGCGGGAAAAGGCCGGGGGCGGGGCCTGCTCCTTAGTATAAAAGTCGATCTTCTGGGCTTTATCTGACTCGCTGTAGTAATTCCAGCGAGAGGTAGAGGGAGCGAGCGGGCGGGCGGGCCGCCGGGGTGCGAGAGCCGAGGGAGCCAAGCCGCGCTCCGAGCGTCCCGGGAAGGAGACCCGGAGCCACAGGGGCCTCGCCTCGGGCCGCGCCGACCCCGCCAGGGCCCGCGGCCCGCGCCTCGTCCGAGGAACTTTGCGCGCGCGGCAGCGGACCCTCTGCCCCCGGACCACAAGCACCAGCGGGGACGCTTTAGCCGCCGGGGCCGGGGCCGCACCGCCGGAAGGCTGGATTTTCTTCGGGTCCCGGAAAACCCGGTAAGCGCCCGGGTCTGTGTTCCGTTTTCCTTACGGTTCCAGTGTTGCGACGCGTCGAAGGCCAAGCCGAGGTGGCTTTCGCCCCCGTGCTGTTGACACTTTTCTCGGAGCACTTGGGGTCGCTCGGCGCGGATTGGGGTTGGTGTGGCTCGGGGTGCAGTGACTTGTCAGGCTGGGAGAGCAAAGAGCTAAGGGAAATGGGGTGCGTTTTAAAACTGGGCTTTAGAGATTTTTTTTTTTTTTACCGTCCTGATGCTGACCCCGTCCGGCTGGACATTCTTGCCCTATTGCATTCGTTACCACTGGGGCTTCAGGGTGCCCTTCGCGGAAGCCCTCTGCGTCCTGAGCCCCGCGGAGCACGGCTGCACACCGCGAGGGGAGGCAGCTCCGCCGCCCCAGCCCGGGAGGGCATTTAAATTTCGGCTCCCGCGTTCCTGACAGCCGGGGCCGGGCACTGCGGCGGGCCCCGCCGGCGGCGATGCCAGCTCGCCCCTGCCCCTTGGGGAAGTTGGCATTCGGCTGTAAACATAGAAATAATGGTAAAATGTAAACGCCGACTTCCAGCGGGAGGCTGGGACCGGGAGGCGCGGAGGAGTGAAAAGGAAAGAGGCGGCCCGGGGGGGGGGGGATGGGTCCGACTCGCGCCCCTGCGGGACCCGGGCGAACCTCGGCACCCAGCCTTGGCTCCAGGCCACCGTGCGCCGGCTTCCCGTGGCCCGGGATGCAGAGGGATGGCGAGGACCGGGCTCCGCCTGCTCCGAACAGCTGCTCCCCGCGCGGGGCGGGGAGGGCTCGCGGGCTCGGCCGCGCAGCCGCTGCCGGTCTAGCGCAGTTGCGTCGCCGCACCGGGTGCTGGGGGAGGCGCCCCCGCTCTTCGGGAACGGCCCCCTTTTTTACTCGCAGGGTGGGGGGCCGCTGAAGCCGGAGGCTCAGCTCGCCACTCCAGCCTGAGAGAGAAAGAAAAGCTGCTGAGGAAGGAAGGGGGCGCCCTGGGGTGGCGGAGGGAGGGGCGGAGAGGGGCGCGAGGGAGCGAAGGGGCGCGCAGGGCGCGGAGGGGCCGGAGGGGAGCGCCGGGGAGCGCGCCGCGGCGCCTCTCGCCTTTCTCCTTCAGGTGGCGCAAAACTTTGCGCCTCGTCTCTGGCAGCTTTTTTTCCCCGCCGCCGCCTCTGGAGGAGGCCGAGGCCGCCGTGGACTCCCGGCTTCGCCCGCCCGGCTCCGCCCGCCCGGCTCCCATGCGGCGGGCGCCTGGCCGCCCTTTTTCGCCCCGAGCCCCAGACGCCGGCGGGGAGGTGCGCCGGCTTTGGCACCGAGAGACCCCGTAACTCAAGACGGCCCCCCTTTTTGTGCCCCTAACGCAGGCTGCCGCCACCATGCCCCTCAGCGTCAGCTTTGCCAGCAGGAACTACGACCTGGACTACGACTCGGTCCAGCCCTACTTCTACTGCGACGAGGAGGAGAACTTCTACCAGCAGCAGCAGCAGAGCGAGCTGCAGCCACCGGCGCCCAGCGAGGACATCTGGAAGAAATTCGAGCTGCTGCCCACCCCGCCCCTGTCCCCGAGCCGCCGCTCCGGGCTCTGCTCGCCCTCCTACGTCGCCGTGGCGTCCTTCTCCCCGGGCGGGGACGACGGCGGTGGTGGCGGCGGCGGCAGCTTCTCCACGGCCGACCAGCTGGAGATGGTGACCGAGCTTCTGGGCGGCGACATGGTGAACCAGAGCTTCATCTGCGACCCGGACGACGAGACCTTCATCAAGAACATCATCATCCAAGACTGCATGTGGAGCGGCTTCTCGGCCGCCGCCAAGCTGGTCTCCGAGAAGCTGGCCTCCTACCAGGCTGCGCGCAGGGACAGCGCCAGCCCGAGCCCCGCCCGCGGGCCCGGCTGCTCCACCTCCAGCCTGTACCTGCAGGACCTGAGTGCCGCTGCGTCCCAGTGCATCGACCCCTCGGTGGTCTTCCCCTACCCGCTCAGCGAGAGCGGCTCGCCCAAGCCCTGCGCCTCGCCCGACTCCTCCACCTTCTCCCCGTCCTCGGACTCTCTGCTGTCCTCCACCGAGTCCTCCCCGCGGGCCAGCCCGGAGACCCCGCCCACTACCAGCAGCGACTCTGGTAAGCGGGGTCTCCGGGTGGCCGGGGTGGCCGAGTGCCCTCACTGCCCATTGACGGCCGACTTGCCTGGCCACTGCCTTTCTCCTTCGGTATCCGGAGGGAGAGGTGGGGCTCCGCAGCTCTGTGGGCCCCTAGTGTAACCTCCCCTCCCCTAGACCTCCCCGGTGGCCTCCCGCCCTGCGCCCTCGGCTCCCACCCCTTAGGAATTTCACTTGGGCTTTGCAGTCTTCTGGCTTATCTTGCAATTCAATCCACTCCTTTTACCTCTCTTAAGCATTGTAATTGCCCTGGAGGGGGGCGTGAAAGAGGAGGATAAGAGAGAATTGGTCTTTAGCAGGGTGAATGAATCGCCTTCCTCCGCCCCTGCCTCCAGAGAGGAAAGGTTGGAATGTGATGGGCTAAGGACTGGGGAAAAATGCAGAGGCCCTGCAGCCTCCTGCTTCAGCCTCAGCTCGGGAGCTCTAGTGAAAGTGCCTTAAGAGTGGGTGGGCAGAAAATCCGCCTTTTTGATAGCTTGGGAGGAAATCCTTGCCAAAAATCCAATTTCTTTTGTCCTGGTCCCCAACCCCAAGGACTTGGCAAAACTAGAGGCATTTTTTTTTCCTTTTTGGACTTCCAGTAAAGTAGGGAGTTGCTAAAGTCATATCAAGAGATGTGCAGCTGTCATTCACAGCCCCCAGGGCTCTCGGTAAAGTCCCTTCTGCATGAGCGTGCTGGGGAGTAGCTTGCTTCGGGTGTGTCCAAGCCTCATTAAGTCTTAGGTAAGAACTGGCATCCATCGGATCTTGGTGAATATGAGCTGCTTCCCTATGCCTTGTCCCACTCCCCTCCCTCCCCTTCATTGGCCGCCCTTCTGGGGAGGAGAGGAGGGATAGTTGGCTGGAATCTTTTGCAAGGTGATCTTTCTCAGTCCTCTCTCAATACATCAGCGCTTTATATTTGCATAGCACTCATTTCAGCTCGGCGCTGATTGGTCTAAGGAAACAGTGCTAACCCAATGATATGTTTCCTTCCTCACAGAAGGAGAGCAAGAGGATGAGGAAGAGATCGATGTGGTGTCGGTGGAGAAGAGGCAGCTCCCTGCCAAGAGGTCGGAACCCGGGTCGCCCCCTGCGGGCCACAGCAGGCCCCCCCACAGCCCTCTAGTCCTCAAGCGGTGCCACGTGTCCACCCATCAGCACAACTACGCTGCGCCCCCGTCCACGAGGAAGGACTGCCCCGCTGCCAAGAGGGCCAAGCTGGACAGTGGCAGGGTCCTGAAACAGATCAGCAACAACCGCAAGTGTGCCAGCCCCAGGTCCTCAGACACGGAGGAGAACGACAAGAGGCGGACACACAACGTGCTGGAGCGCCAGAGGAGAAATGAGCTGAAACGGAGCTTTTTTGCGCTGCGTGACCAGATCCCGGAGTTGGAAAACAATGAGAAGGCCCCCAAGGTGGTTATCCTTAAAAAAGCCACAGCGTACATCCTGTCTCTCCAAGCCGAGGAGCAGAGCCTCCTTTCCCAAAAGGACTTGTTGCGGAAGCGGCGAGAACAGTTGAAACACAGAGTTGAGCAGCTTCGGAACTCTAGTGCTTGTGTGTAAGGTGACGCCCCTCATGCAGGGCGGGGCAGGCGGGGAACAAGCTGCAGCTACGTGGACTCCTATCCAATGCATGGTCGGTCACAACCTCACAACCTGGCTGAGTCTTGGGACTGTAAGGTTTAGCCAGAAACTGCCTCAAATAGAACTGTAGGCATAAAAGAGTTTTTATGCTTGACATTTTTGTTTTCCTTTAACAGATTTGTATTTAAGAATTGTTTTTTAAAATCTTAATGTTGACCAACTTTTCCCTGTGTAAATATGGATATTAAATGTAAATAACTTTAATAAAACGTTTATAACAATTATACAAGATTTCAAACATGTATTATAAACCATAATTTTTTTTATTTAAGTACATTTCCTTTTTAAAGTTGATTTTTTTCTATTGTTTTTAGAAAAAAATAAAATAATTGGCAAATATATCATGCAGCCACATCTTAAGTTGTGTTTGGTTTCTTGTCTCCACGCACTCCCCACCACCATTTTTTCCCATCAATTACAAATTAACAGAATTTGACCCTGGCGAGGGTAAGTTGACAAAGATGAGGAAAGTTGAGGTTTCCATTGGGGCTGGGGGTCTTAGCTGTCAGGGTTATGAGAAGATAAGAGCCACGCTTGATAGCAAAGGAAGGGGGGGGGAGGTGGGTTGAGGGGTCAGAGGTAGGGAAAGAGGTTAGAGATAGCAGTTAAGTATACAAAGCGATAAGGGGGAGCCCGCCCAGAGGAACTCCCTCACCTGGGTCTCTCCAGCTACCTCACCCCGGAACTGGGGGCCAAAGTCTCTGGGGGAAGGGCAGAGCCTCCTTTGCTCTTGGCCTATTGCTCCCAGGTGGCTGCCCCTTCCTGGGGTTATCTCCTTCACCCTATTTTACAGAAGAGAAGACAGAAAAGTAAAAGCTTGAGGCCTTGTGTAGTTTTATCTGTGGCCGCACAGATAGCACGGAATCCAGGTCCTCTGTGGAAACACATCACTCTGGAGCCCTGACTTAGCTCTGGCCATGGCCTCCGCTCAAGAACACAGCTGATCTAGGTCCCGATCCGTGGGCCATTGCTCTAGGGTGACCCCACAAAGGAGGGACTACTGACTTCCCTCTAGTTCAGAGGGAAAACACACGACCAGGGGATGGAGGGGCTGTGTAGCAGGCCACTTTCAGCTGCAAGTAACACCGTATCAACTATTAAAGAGATGTTAGTTCTGGCATTTGTTTCCTATGGTCCTGCAACAAATGATCACAAACTGGGTCCCACAGCCGTGGAGGTCAGAAATCTAAAACGGTGTCACTAGCCCAAGGGCCCGGTGTCACAGAGCTGGGCTCCATCCAAATCTCAGGAGAGAATTGTTCCTCGGAAAGACTGAACAGAGAGATTCAGACCCCCGGCTGTCTGCACTCAACCTGAACCTGGTGGTCTCTGAGCAGGCCAGTGGGAGTAACCCAGCCACTTTTGAGAACAGGATTCATGATCCACAGCCCGGCGGATAATGCATTCTAAGTCTCACTTTTTAGACCTGGTCCAACGTAAGTTCCCTTTTGATTAGCTCATCTTTCTTTGTTTTTTTATTTTGTATTTTCATTGTTTAATTTTTCCATTCACATTGAGAAGCAGCCCACAATTCAGTCCTTCCTATTTAAGGCATTTGTTACATCAGATCACTGCTTGCTCCAGGAAGAAGCCAGGTTGGAAATGCTACTGCTCCATCATAAAATCCAACATGCTTGGCCTCAGTCATGTGAGTCATTATTTTCGGAACTGCAAACTCTCCTTCATTCCAACCACTTTCACCCTCATGACACATGCTTGTCATTAGTCCACGAGAAGGCAGTTTTGAATGGATGTCTTATTAATAATAAGCCCGGGACACCCACAGTCTGAACTAGAACACTGACTACAGAGGAGAAAGGAAGTTACCTCGATGTTCTAATTACCTCATTGTCTCCATCTCAGAAAAGGTCTTCAACTCCCTGCACTCTTTGGAATTTTAATCCACCACCACCCATAAATCAATACATAATGACTGTTTTTGACCCCCAGAATAATCTATGCAAGGCCTTAATGACTAGTTCTTGATCTTTCTTTTGGGTTCCTAGTCGCACCCTCGGCATCCAGCTGCCACACCCTGTACCCTAAATTCAAAGCAAGTACGCTGGGCAGACCAGAGCAGTTCAAAGAGGAACGGGCGGGGGCGTTCTTAAACGGTTCTCTCGGCCCCTTTGTGGCCCAGGGCGGGAGCGAAGCCCTCAGTGACTCACTTGGGAACCGGGACGGTGTTGGTTTGAATCACTAAGTCCAGGCAAGCCCGAGGAATGGGAGAGAGGGTGCCTCGCTAGGAAAACAACAGCTCTTGCCAAACGATCGGGAAACGGCGATCGGGAAACGCCGTTGCGGATGCCGAGCCTGGCTGTGGGAATGGAAGGGAGCCATTCGGAGCACCTACTAGGCCACCTCCACCCAGATCTGCCCATCTAGGGGCTGGGCTGGACGCAGGACAGACGCCAGCTGCTTTCCAGAAAGTCAGGCTGACCTTGACCACAACAAAAATTGGCCTTCGAGTCCATCCAGAGTCCCAGGGGTCTTTGATTGGTGCAGACTGCTTCCTAGATAAGCATCAAGATTCGGGCGGAGGGGAGGGGCTTGCAATTCCGTCTGAACTTGCTGGGAAGAATAAGCAGTACGACTGTGTTTTTACCCACGACACTGAATTAAGGGCTCCCGCGGGGGACTCCGGGGGTGGCTTTGTGTGGGGTGGAATGTATAAGGAGGAAGGAAGTGTTGTTTTATGCTGCCTTGCGGAAGCAACAAAGGCAATCAACATTATAAAAGCAATCAATCAAACTTTAAAATGAACAAAGTTTTTACGACCCCAGGCTAATACTTGGACCACTCAGAGCTGGTGTGTGTAAGCAGAAATCTCTGCTGGCCTTTATGACAAGCTCTGGCACAAACCCTGGGAAAAGGGGGGAAACCGCGCTGGGGGGTTCTGCGGCTTGTTCACATAATCTGTGGTTAGTTCAGTGGGTCGTTTTTTAGCATACATGCTAAGAGCCTCTGAAGCATTTCTTCCCAGTAAGAAATAACCCTTAAACTGAAAAATCCTGGAAGATGTTCCTCACGCCTGTTTACAAATACTCCACTAGATAGCTTCACAAAAAACACCTCGATTAAGGTTATAGACCATTCTAGGCCTCTTTTAAAGGAGTACAAAGGTAGAAATAACAGACTAATTTTCAAAAATAAAACTAGGGCTGGCGATGTGGCTCAGCAACAGAGCATTTGCTAATGCGCATGAAGCTATGGGTTCCACCCCAGTATTGTAAAAAATAATAATAATGTTTTATCACTCACCACCAAGGCCGAAGCATTTTAGCTCTTTCTTGCTCCTTCAGCAGAACTTGGACAACCTTCGAATTTAGAGGCAACATCAGCGATGCCGGCTTTGCTGAACTGTTGCGAGGTGACTCCTAATGACTCCGAGTGCATTTTGTTTTTAATTTTATTTCATTCAATATTAGTCTATCCCGAGCGTCTTAGGAAGGCGGAGTTGAAGGGACAAGTGTTGATGGTGTGTAGATCTTCTGGAGCTGAAAGGAAGGTCCTTTGTCTTCTGACAATGCCTGGCGGCTCAACCAAAGTCCCCTGCACTTTCTTCCCATGTCACCCCATCATCCCACTGAGGGGTCCACTCTCCTGGCCACCAGGGGTCAGTGGGACTGGGAAGGGGCGCGCTCGGGAGGGAGTTACCCTTCCTCCACACTTCCCTCCTGCCCCACACCTCTCCCTGGACACCCACAGCCGCCCAGCTGGAAAACAATTGCTGCAGGTGACGATGCTGAAGTTTAAACAAGTTAAATAGCTGGCCAAAGTCACCACAGTGCCAACAATAGTAGTTAATGTTTACTACGTGCATTATCTTACTTCACCCCCAAAGCAGTTCTTAGGAGGAAAAAACCCCCAGCATTCTCTGCAAGGGATTGAACCAGGTGCTTTCACACTAAGCTACATCCCTAGCCCTTTTCATTTTTTATTTAGAGCCAGGGTCTCGATAAGTCACTGCTTACACTTTTAATCCTCCTCGCTGAGCTTCCCAGGGTGGGCCACCACACAGCTGAGGTAAATTGTGTTTCTCATGCCCATTTTACAAATGAGGATACTGAAACTTTGATTAAGTAATTTGCCTGCGTTCACTGAGCTGGCAGAGTGAAAGAAGAAATCATCTATTTGTCCGTACATATCTGCGGAGCACCCACTGTGTGCGCACACTGAGCTGGGGTGGGAAGAGACCTTTCAATAACAAACAAGGTCACAAAGATTCTGCCCAGGCACTCATGGACTAGTGGAGAACAAAGAAAACGGGCAATTAGGCTCTAAATTGTCTTACTTTTTAAAAACGTGCTTTTGCAATCCCAGAGCCCCACGCCCACTGGGCAAGTGTCCTACCACTGTCCTGCGTCCCAGCCCAGACTAAATCATTTCACTGACACTTTCAGGGAGCTGTGAGCTCAAGCATTAGGCGCTTCTGCCCCTCCAAGAAAATAAACTGGACTATGGGATCCAGCAAGTGCTGAAAGACAGAGAAGAGGTCAGCAGCACTGGACAGGCGCTAGGCGAAGGTGGAATCCACCGGAAGGAGCCTGCCGCGTCGGAGGAGACAGCTGCCTAGGGTTCCCCAGCGCACTCTGTGCTCCGGCACCGCCTTCTCTGCAGTTCCCAGAGAGGGGTTCCAGGGCAGCAGCAGCAACAGCGCTTGTGGATTTGCACAAATGCAGATGTAATCTGAACAGAATCCCAAGAGGTGGAGACCTTCATAAATGCTGGAGAGGGGTAAGGGTTCAGAACCTCTGCCTCCTCCAGTACAGCCACATGCACACACACCCCCTGCATCTTTCTAAATCACAAATGTGACTCCTTCCCTACTTAAAACCCCGCAGAGGGCCAGGCATGGTGGCAATGCCTATAATCCTGGCACTTCAGAGCCCGAGGCAGGAGGATCCCAGAGTTTGAGACCAGCCTGGGCTACACAGTGAGTTCAAGGCCAGCCTGGACTAGTAGTCTAGCTCCAAACAAACAAACAGAGAAACTTTAGAGGGTTCCTGCAGCCTCCTGGGTCAAGTCCAGAGCTGTCCTCCAGGCCCCCTCAGCCTTGTACCAACAGCATGCACCCCCAGCTCTCTGACCACTGGGCAGGCTCTGAGGATTACAGGCAGCTCAGTCAGGCAGCTGAGTCAGGCAAGCCCTACAGGGAGTCAGTGCAGAAGGTGACAGCATGTCACAACCGTGGCTGGAGGCGCGTCTGAAGACCTCGAGATTGAGTCACAGTGGTCAGATGCACAGACTTCCCCATGGGGTGGATGGAAGCTTAAGGTTATCCTGCAGCTCCTACCACCCTCT